AATAAATCCAACTGCCTTCTTTTTAAAAAATAGGACTCGTCGTGTTTGCTGAGAGCAAGCACTGGAGTTTTAGTTGGTATCAACACTGAATCTGAGTGAAAACAGCTGGTTGCACATTGCAGGGTTATTGCTCATCGGAGTCCTGTAACTCAGTGGTTAGAGCACTCGCTTTGCAAGCGAGAGACCTGAGTTCAATTCCAGGCAGAGGGCGAAACCTTGGGCAAGTTTCCTTACTCCACACAGAGCCTAATAATAATCCCTCCAAAACCCAAAACAATAATAAATTGGTCATTTTCAATCTACGACTGTTTGTGGGACATTGCTGTGCGCAATTGGCTGCCGCGTTCGCCCACAATTATACAGTCAATTCACTTTACAGTGTGTTCTGTGAAGCGCTTTGGGACGTCATCCCGACGTGAAAAGCACTATATCAAATGCAAGGATTATTATTATTATTATTATTATTATTATTATCTTTTAACTGCCCTCCCCCACAGTTCTATGTAAGCACCTTATAGCATGTAACTAAAAGCTAGTCATGATTTCTACAGCGTGATGGGATATACTGTGTGAATCTACGATGTAAAATATATAGACACTCAGCAATTACTTTCTTTACTATCCTGGTTAGACTGAAAAAGTCGCAAAAAGGCCATTTGTAAATGATGTGATCATCAAATAATAGTTGTCAATGTTGGAAACAGAATATTTCTCCACTTGGGACACTCAGCGCCAACGTATCACAAGCCACATTTAAAGTTAAGCTCTAAGGTCTGGCAAGCAACTGGAAAGTTCCTAGTGTTCACAATGATAATCTGTGTGGATTTAATTAGTTAAACTCCAGCAGTACCCCAATCCACACTCTGGGGTGCCCTAAGCTTGGCTCTTAAATTCCTTAAGCTACTAAACTCACAGTAGTAAAATAAGCAGGATGAATCCCTTTGGAAAGGGAATGTAACCTCTACTCCAGACAAGGGAATTTCCATGCATATTTTGAAGTCTTAGACTCTTAAGCAGGGTGATGGGTTTCTGTATGTGTCAGATCTCTGGATGACCAAAAAAGTAAAGATCCTTCTGCTTGACCTGGAAGAACAGTCTACAGCCCCAGTGTGACTTTTTATTTCTTACACCAATCTTCAGTGATAATAATAATAATCCTTGTATTTATAATAATAATAATAATCCTTGCATTTGATATAGCGCTTTTCACGTCGGGAGGACGTCCCAAAGCGCTTCACAGAACACACTGTAAAGTGAATCGACTGTATAGTTGTGGGCGAACGCGGCAGCCAATTGCGCACAGCAATGTCCCACAAACAGTCGTAGATTGAAAATGACCAATTTTATTATTGTTTTTGGCTTTGGAGGGATTATTATTTCATATTTGTGGAGTCCTGTAGCTCAGGTGTTAGAGCACTTGCCATGCAAGCGAGGGATCTAGATTCGATTACTGGCAGGGCGAAATGTTGGGTAAGTTTCCTTACTCCATCCGCCTCTGTTTACTTAGCAGTAAGTAAGAATCCAGTTGTTAGTTGATTGGCGGATCCCTTTACCGGGCGTAATAATTCCTTCAAAAAAATAATAACAATAAATTGGTCACTTCAATCCACGACTGTTTGTGAGACACTGCTGTGTGCAATTGGCTGCTGCGTTTCGCCCACAAATATACAGTCGATTCACTTTACAGTATATTCTGTGAAGCGCTTTGAGGCATCTCAAAGATCTGATAAAGCGCTATATCAAATGCAAGGATTATTATTATATAGCGCCTCATCATGTCTTCGAGACGTCTCAAAGCGCCTCACAGAATACACTGTAAAGTGAATTCACTGTATATTTTGTGGGCAAAACAGTACCAAAAAGATTGACAATTGTGATATAGTACAAGGTTTTAAGTTTTATTGTTGTACATGCTAGCTATTCGGTTGAGGTAGGCTCAATGTATTTCATATTAAATTCATTAGACTTCCATCTGGCAAAGAGAAGAGACTATCTTCCAATCACACTGAGCTAGATCTGGGTTCAGGACAATTGGCATCCAGTGTCTCAAGCGATACCTCTGCAACATTTAGTTCTAATGCGCTATTGGACAATACGAGAATAATGTTCTATGGTCACCAAATGTATCAGAATAAATATTACTTCCAGTTGACTATGTACAATTGAGAAGTGATGAATGACAGATATCAACAACAACAACAACAACAACAAGATTCCATTTATTGAGCGCCTTTCACGTCGGGAGGACGTCCCAAGGCGCTGTACAGTTGGGTCATGACCCGAGCAAGGGGGAAATGGTCAGGGTGAGGGGAGGGAAGGGAGGGAGCGAGGATGGGGTAGAGAGTCGAGAGGGGAGCTGAAGGCACGGTCAAAGAGAAAGGTCTTGAGACCGGCCTTGAAGGAGGAAAGGGAGGAGGCAAGGCGAAGGCACTGGGGGATAGAGTTCCAGAGCCTAGGGGCTGGTTGGGGCGGGGGATGTGATGTGGAGCAGACCTGAGCCAGAGGAACGGAGGGTACGGGCAGGTAGGTAGGGGGATAGTAGGTCGGAGAGGTAGGAGGGAGCAAGGCTGTGAATGGCATATCATATGTGGACCTGCAAAAGACCTTCCTTCTGATTGTTTGTGGGACATTGCTGTGTGCAAATTGGTGGTCGCGTTCACCTACAAAATATACAGTCAATAGACTTTACAGTTAATCCTGTAAAACACTTTACGATGTCTTCCCAATGTGAAAGTCGCTGATATCAAATACAAGGATTATTATATCATCAATTATCATGATTCTTATTCAGAATGACTTTGTGTTAATTATTTTTTTGTTTGCTCTTACCCTCCCCCTTCTGCTCTCACCATCACACAATTGAGCAGGAGAGGAAAGTGACCTCATCTTGGGGATCTGACACTATATGTAGTTAAACGAGTTTATTGGATGAAATGGGGTGACTTTCCCTGATCTTCAACATCTCTCTCTTAAGAAGCACTTCTCTGAGGCATTTGCCTACAAAAATACAGTCACTACACGGAAGCAGTTTGAAACATCTTCCTGACATGAAAGACATTATATCATATGTAATGATTGATTATTCATTATTATTATTAAAATAACATCAACAATAATAAACAGACAAGATGATCTATTCGAGTGAAAATCCAGCATGTTCATTACCATGGAGCAAACTCTGCATCATTCCACTCCAATGCACTAACAGTCTACTATCGTGACATGAAATTCTATACATAGACTATGCAGGAATATTAGAGATACTAGTGAATGAGATACTGTAACTCAGAAATCTTTTGCACAATTTTGCACAGATGAAGTAAAATAAAAGAGTGATCTTCCCATGAGTAAAATATTAGCATTGCTAATATTTAGCATTGCTAATAGTATTAGCATTGCTAATATTTTGCCATTGTATCTCCATTAGATTCAAATACTAGTTTCTTTGTGTGCAAGAATTAAAAGCACATGTTTACAAATGCAACTAAAAACTTTCATCCCTTGAAATGATTAATGGCGGTCATCAACCTTTAAAAGGTTACTTGTCATTTCCTGCACGGCCTCCTAGATTTTAGTTTGTAAACTGAACTCGGTTGTAAACTGATGTATCAATAGTGATAGCAATCTCTACAGAGTGCAAACAATGCAGTCACAGAAACAGACATTTTCTGCACAAAATGGAACCATTTGACCCATTATTGTCCGTGCAACGTAATCTCAGCAAACATCGCACATGCTTTGCACTAAAACATTTCCGGAGCAGATGGTCGTCACTGAAGGAGTTCAGTAATTTACTCAAAGAAATGTATTTACATACCAGCATGGACGAGGCAATAATGCTATGCATTAAAGTACCAGCAAACTCTTCCTGTAAACCTTTAAGAACTTAAATAGTGTAGGAAACTATTATACACGATTTTCTGAAATGCTATCACTTTAGCCACCAATGCCGTTGAGACTGACTAGTAATGATCTGAACTCTCTATACCAATATAACATACTAACACGTTAAACACATACTAACACATACTAACAAAAATGTATATGGGTGAAAATTCAGTACTGTAAGGTTAGTCTTAAATCATAGTATGTCATTTTACTTGTTAAAGCTTGTGTTACTCTGCTCTCCTCTGATTATATGGAGAAGATTTGAATCCTATGCAGTAGATACTCAGTGCACTGGTAAAACTCCACCCAAATTCCCACAAAAATAGACTTTCCAATGCTGATTCTTATTGTAAAATTAGTTAAGATAGTGATCAATGAGCAGAGCCATCATGGAATATCGCATTAAGAGATGTGGGAATAGTTCCAATGACTGACTTGAACACTACCGACTTTTACAGCGATAACAACAAGGGATTCATTTGAGGAATTTGAGCAAATTATAGGGCCTGGTAAATTAAAGACTCTCCAACAGCACAGACATACAGAAAATATGCTGGGTTCAAACACAGCTCAATTCTGCATGAGTTAACAGACCAATGCAGTCGGCTCAGTATTCCTGCACTAATGTGGGAAATAAGAAATAAGACAAGACTTCTTATTACTGCAGTATTCAATGACTCTTACTGAAAGTGTGAGTATGTGTGTGTGGAAATACTTGTTAGGTGATGTAAGCTAAACTACAGTGATTTCCTCTCCTCCCCAAAGTCAAATCGTCCAACATTTAAAGCTAATACCTTATAAAATAGCCAGATGGATGGGTGAGGTATGGATGGGTGACATATGGTAGGGTAAGTCCCACTGATGGAACCATACCCCAGTAGACACAATTACCTTCAGGAGAGAATAATCAGTGAAATATCTGGGGGGAAAATATCAGGTTTGTAACACAGTAAAAGGAAAAACAATGACCCACTAGTTTTGTTTGCAAAATATAATCACAGATACCATTATTTCATAATACAACACACCAAATGCATCCTTTTTTCCTACCTAAGCATTGCCTGCAGGGAAATTACATTCGGAAAGAAAAAATAATCCAGAATAACACTTACCTTCTTGTGCCACTGTTAATGACAACTGTGTTATTACAAGTAGGAGGAAGGTCCCTGTGTGCACAAAGCTCTCCATGTCTAATACTAAACACAAGTCTCTCTGCAAATCAAAGGGCATGCAACTAGCCTAACATCAACTCAGCATGTTCTTTTTCCCTCAACAACAGGTCCAGTCCAAACAGCAATCACAGTTCCTCTGAAGGAGCTTTAAATAAGAAGATTTTCGCAACCCTTTAGACCCTGCCTCCCTGAAACCCGATCCTTAGATTGGCCCTCTCATTTTCCATTCTGGGTTTGACTGATACTAGTTTAGTAAACTACAAAACACATTATACTAAATGTGTCGAAATGAGTCACCAGTACAACTGCTTCTACAGATGTTGTCAGAACTTTATTTCTAATAAAGTCTTAAAGTTAAGGAAAACAATTACTCCTTGGCTCAAGCTAATATAAGCTCTTAAACAATATCAGTACTTACAGGGTCTGCTGTTCAAAGTGCAGATTTTCTTCAGTCTTTGATGCAGATATCGTTGATGCAAATTTCCATCTGTCTTTCCTCCTACAAACGAGAAAGAATATACTTCTGTTTCTGTTGTCAAGAGTCAAGAGTCAGTCAAATCATTTTAACCTTTAAAGTATGTTTATAAAAGGGAAAACTTGTCCAAGACCAAACAATCAGCTTAACTAACCGTTTCAAGTGATCCTCAATTTTTATTGACAATTTTTTCCCTTGTCTCTCCCCCACACAACCATATTCTTCAAAACATGGCCAAACACCAATTATTCATATGTGACCAAGACAATGAGGTCCAATCTGTGCTAATAAGAATTCCTGCATTTGATATAGCGCCTTATAATGTCTTTGAGATGTCTCGAAGGGCTTCTCAGAATATACAATGCGCACTCTGGGGTCTCCTTTTCGTAATGATCATCTGCAAATCAAATGCTGCTAATAATAATCCTTACATTTCATATAGTGCCTTATCATGTTTTTGAGATGTCTCCAAGTGCTTCACAGGATATTACTTGTGGGCGAAACGTAGCAGCGAATTGCGCACAGCAGTGCCCAACAAACAGTCGTGGATTGAGTGATCAAATTATTATTTTTTTGAAGGGATTATTACCTCCGGGAAAGCAATCTGCCAATCAACTAACAACCGGGTTTCTGTTTACTGGTAGGTAAACAGAGGCGTGTGGAGTCAGGAAACATGCCTAACGTTTCACCCTGCCCAGGAATCCAACCTAGATCCTCTCACTTTCAAGACAAGTGCTCTACCCACTAAGCTACAGGACTCTTCTTAGTGGGATCTAGAATAATAATAATAATAATCCTTGCATTTGATATAGCGCTTTTCACGTCAGGAGGACGTCCCAAAGCGCTTCACAGAACACACTGTAAAGTGAATTGACTGTATATTTGTGGGCGAACGCGGCAGCCAATTGCGCACAGCAGTGTCCCACAAACAGTCGTAGATTGAAAATGACCAATTTATTATTGTTTTTGGAGGGATTATTATTAGGCTCTGTGTGGAGTAAGGAAACTTGCCCAAGGTTTCGCCCTGCCTGGAATTGAACTCGGGTCTCTCACTTGCAAAGCGAGTGCTCTAACCACTGAGCTACAGGAATCCATTGCAGCAATCTGTTTCGAATTCATGTCAATTTCCTGGTATCTCAGCTCCAGAAATAGATTTTACGGGAACACAATTTCTTCAGATCTCTCTGACAAAACATTTATGGGAAGGAGATCCATTATTATATAATCCTGATAAGAAATTTCACGTTCAATTAAACCCCAATGTGCGTCAGCGGAATATTTCACAATGGAAGAGAATCACAATGGAGCTTTATCCAGCAAAGGGTGTTAAACCATTGTTTAGCCACCAGGTTCAGCAAATTAGGGCTCAGATCACTTGTGATGGGGGTGGTAGGGTGTGTGTTCTAGAGGGATGAGATTGGATGGGCCAAAGGGACATTTTCCATCCAGTCCAATCTTGTGACCTTGCGGACATCTCTGCAGTATTTCAAGGAAATGATGAACAACACCAATGCAGTTTCCTCACCAGAAGAAATGGTTTCCACCAAATAGGCAACAGATACTCACAGCACAATACTGGTCATTCTGTTGTACATAATAAATGTGGGCTCTGGCTTTTGCCATCAATATTTGCCTTTCAGAATACATCTTCAGGTAAGTGTGTCTCTCCAGGAAATGTACATGAGCTGCAATATCCAATCCAGACCTCTATTTTGCAGTTCAATGTCTTGCAGGATAAGCAAGTGTTTATTGAGCTAAATTAATGATCATAAGGTTATTATTACTTCTCTTCACCCCGTAATTTAACCATCTGTAACTGGAGAGGAAGCCAACTGTGAATTTTAGTCTTTTCTTTTGAAACACTATATTTGTAATGAGACATCCATCAGCTTTATTTACAACTAACAGATGAGATCCATAGGTTATAATTGCCAAACACACCTAATAAGAGTGCAGAGGCTGAATATTTAAGATTGACTCACTGCAATATTCCATGTGCAGTGAGAGGCGCATATAATATTGAGGTGTTTAGGGCTGGGAGTTAAGAGCTCTAAGATAATTGTATTACTACTCCCTGAAGGGCACAATAACGGTGTGAATTTCCTACTTCCTTGCCAATTAATGAAATGGCATGTTGACGGTATTGAAAAGAATCGATACTGTGACCCATACAGGATACTGAATCACAGTTTAACTGCAGAGATTGGTTAGAAAGTCACAATGCAGTTGCAGTGTTGCAGTGCTTTGGGGGTGATGACCTTGTGATAACTTAAGAAGTGTGAGCAGACCTGCAATATTTACCTGCAATGACTATCTTTAGCACATGAATCTCCGGGACGCTACCCCATGTGAAGGGAGCTATCTGAATGCAAGTTGTTGTTGTTGTAATCTGCTTAGATGGATCTTTCACTCAATGGATCCCCAACCAAGAGAGATAAATGTTTATGAAAATGGGCACGTGGTTTACAATCTAATAATTACAAGTATTAACAAAGAAGAAATACTCTGTGGACATTGTAATGTGCAACTTTAATAGGTTTTGATTTGCATGTTTAAATGATTTCGTCAAGTGAGGTGCAGAAACCCATACAGTCTATGCTAACAATCCAATGCAGTGCTGGGGTGTGCTGCATTGTGGAAGTGCTGTCTGGAACTCCATCCCACAGTCCTTCTGCCTCCCTCCCTCCCTTGCCTCCTTCAAGACTCACCTCAAGACCCTCCTCTTCAACCGTGCCTTCGGTCACCCTCGTATCCTTCCCCTCCCTCCACCAATCCTATCGCAACCACCAACTCGGGTGTGGATCCCTGACTGTCCAGCACTTTGGGACATCCTCTTGATGTGAAAGGCACTATTTTGTTGTTGTTGTTATTGTTAAAGATCCTTTGGGACGATTTGAAGAGCGAAGGAAGATAGACTTACAACTGCTATGCTTACTTTGGTACATTTGCGTATTACTAATTCTTACTGTCAGTAAGAAGAGGACTTTGTCTGAGCTAAAGGTGAATCTCAAGATCACATGGAAATTGTCCATCATACCGATACAATACAAAATTAAATTTGTAAAGCGCCTTTCACATCAGGAGGAGTCCCAAGGCGCTGAACAGTCAGGGATTAGGACCTGAGCAGGGAGAGGGGGGTTGGGTTGGGATCAGGGAGGGTGGAGGGCAGAGAGGGTAGAAGGGTGGCCAAAGGCATTGTCAAAGAGGAGGGTCTTGAGGCGTGCCTTGTAGGAGGCAAGAGAGGGAGCGAGGCATGGAGTTCCAGAGGGTGGGGGCAGAGAGGCTGAAGGCCCAACTGCCAATGGTGGGTTGGGGCATGCCGGGTGGGGGACATGGAGCAGGCCAGAGTGGAGGGAGCAGACAGGTTGATAAGGGGTTACCAGGTCGTAGAGGTAGGAGGTGGCAAGCCCATGGAGGGCCTTGAAGATGTGGACGAGGATTTTGAACTCGATCCTCTGAGGGATGGGGAGCCAGTGGAGCCGGGCAAGGGTGGGTATGATGGGGTCACAGAGCCTGGTGGGGGAGAGGACATGAGCTGCAGAGATCTGGATGATCTGCAACTTGTGGAGGGAAGAATTGGGAAGGTCGATAAGCAGGGCATCATGTATTGCCTTTGAGTGCTAGCCAGAATCTACTGCCAGAAGGTATGGACTAAAGGGTAGAACCATCTGCTTCTGCTGTACAACCTGAGGATCAGCTGTGAGGTTCATTTCCAGTTATTCCTTGATGCCAAATTCAAAGTCACAGTAGTTGCATAGGCTTTTTGCCATAATGAAGGATATTAATGGGTAGATGGAGCGAGCAAGTCTGCCGCTTGTCCTGTACAGCAAAGAGGCTGCTTTATCAGGATTTGGGGGAATACTCAGGGTGCTGGACGCAATATCGAATTTAGAAAAAGCTGCCGTTGTGCAAAATGATCCTTGTCAGGAAGCTGTCCGAAATGGGCTTCACACTTAACCCCTTTGAATCAACTTGGATAAATTATTATATTGCACAACCAAAGCTAAAATTAAATTAAATCCAGCAAATTGTGATAATACAAATCATATGTCATTGGCCTAATGCGTGTTTATAAAGCTGCAGCTGCATCCAACAAGACTTCGGCCAAGTGTTTCTGTGGTGGCAAAATAACTGGCAACTAAACATTCAAAAGTGATAAACAATCTGTAAATCATCCCCAATTCCTCAGCTCATTAGCCTGAAAAGATCAATGTGCACGGATTTAAAAAAAACTCAAGGCAGGCATGCTGCATAATTAGCTATTTTGTGAGACTGGCGCCAGTTGTTGATTCCTAGCTACATTTCCCAGGGTAGCGAGAGGGAGATTCATTTATTTTTTAGAAACAAAAGAAATGTTATTTTTGATATATAGATTTTCTTTCATAACTTACAAATATTGATGTATTTTGGCAGCTTTAGATTTCTCTTTCTTTCTTAATTCACATCTTTCATCTGGTTCCACACTTTGTTGCCCAAAATATCGTGGCTCATTTGAAGTCAATTGTTCCGAAGCCAAACTGGAGGCGTCCTCCAGGATCTTGACTTTCTCCCCCTCTCTCTTCTCCCATCCCATTCATTTCCTCTCACACACTCGGGAAGGATGCCCAATTTATATCGCTGACTACTATGCCAGACATGCATCCAGCCACAAGGCTCT